ACTTATTTCAAAAGCGTTACGCCAACTTGACCTTCTAGCTACGTGCGACAACTAAAAAAAAAATCTAATAAGCGATAATCGGGTCCTTCGTTGGCTAAACGCTTCTAAAAGTTACAATCCTGCCGCGCAATCACCATTCAAGCGGTCAACATTGAATTCCGTCCTAGCGTTAAACATGCCTTAAGTAAAAAAATAGCTTATGCTTATCACTCTCTCAATTCAATACGTTCTATATGCAAGCCTGATGAGCTCAATATCCAAATTTTTTTTTTTTTTTTGTTGGAAGAATTTTTGATTATCACATCATCGAATACTTTGTAATATCTGTAAACGCTACACCAAATTACGAAAGTTTTTTTTTTTTCATTTCAAAAAGTAATTCTAGCAACTAATTCCCTAATCGCGCTTGGAGAAGTTCAGAGTGGTTAGTTTGTTCTAGTAGTTTTATATAAGTTGGTTTATAATAATTTACCACAAAAAAAAAAGGAAACTGAAATTAAATCCCGCTTCTGAAATCCAGAAGTTCTGAAAATGTTCAAATTTATTCGAAAACGTTTATAAATCAGCACTTTTCAAACTTTTTGTTTTACGAAACCAGAAATTCTAAAACTGTTGTCTAGAATTGCGAAATCCAGAGGTTCTAAAAATATTACGACTTTCTGATGGATATTAAAGCCGATTTCAAATACCATGAAGCATGAACTCTGCAAGACGGCAGTTCTCAAACTTTTTATTTTCTACAATTATTCAATCCAGAGGTTCTAAAAATGTTTGAGGATATTAGAAAGAACTGCAAATTAGAGCAGTCGATATAGGAACAAATTAAACACCCTGTACGCTTCCAAGACAATTAATACTCAATAGGATGTCGAATAATAAAACTTCCACTCATTCTGAAAATCACTTCCAAAAAATATCTATATACATTAAAAAATGGCAAAAACATGATTGTATAGAAAGCATAGAAAGGATATACATTTTCAAATTATTTTTTTTCTTTTCTGTTTAGTTCAAACTAGAAATTTCAAATTTAAACACAATTTATTTATTTGGCAAAATTTCGAAATTTTGGACCAACTTGAAAATTTCAGTTTGAAACACTTGAAGTTTAAACCGGAAATTTTGTGTTTCTACTTCAAAAATTCCAGCCTAAAATTCCAATCTCAAATTCCAAAACGAAATTTTGAGATGTTCTATTATTCTGTCCTCCAAATTTCAAAATCAAATTCAAAATTTCAAGACTGAACTCGAAATTTTGGATTTCAAAACAAAATTTCAAATTCGAACTTTCCCGGTTAAACCCAAAATTTCGTATTTCAACTCGAAAATTTAAATTTGAACTCAAAATCTGATGAACGAAGGAAAATAAATTGTGTACAATGAATATTTTTAGCTTTAGAGTTTTAATTTAAAGTCTCGTATTTAAACTCGATATTTTGAGTTTGAAATACTTGAAGTTTAAACCTGAAATTTTGTGTTTCCACTTCAAGAATTCAAAATTAAAATTCCAAACTCAAAATATTAAATTCAAACTCGAAATTTTGAGATATATTTTATTACTCAAATCAAATTCAAAATTCGAAATGAACTCAAAATTTTGGACTTCAATAAAAAATTTCAAATTAAAACTTGAAATTTTGCGGTTGAATTTCATATTTCAACTCGAAACTTACAATTTGAACTTGAAATTTGATGTATGAAAAAAAAATGAATTGTGTATATTGAATGTTTTTAGCTTTGTTTATTTATAAAATTTAGAATTCAGACTCGAAATTTCGAGTTTTGAGTTTGCAGTCTCGTATTTAAACTCAAAATTTTGAGTTCAAACTGAATATTTCTTGTGTGAATTCAAATTTGAACTTAAAATTTCGAGTTTAAACACAAAATATCAAATTGAGACTATTTCTTATTTCCACATTTCAAACTCAAATTCAAAATTTCAGGCCTGAACTCAAAATTTCGGGTTTCAAATCAATATTTCAAATTCGAACTTGAAATTTTGCTGTTGAACCCAAAATTTCGTATTTCAACTCAAAACTTACAATTTGAACTCGAAATGTGATGAACGAAACAAAATGAATTGTGGGTATTAAACATTTTTAGCTTTATTTATAAATTTTAGAATTCAAACTTGAAATTTCGAGTTTGAGTTTGAAGTCTAGTATTTAAACTCGAAATTTTGAATTTGAAACACTTGAAGTTTAAATGGGAAATTTTGTGTTTCTACTTAAAAATTCAAACTTAAAATTCCAATCTCAGAATGTTAAATTCAAACTCGAAATTTTGAGATATATTTCATTGTTTTCCAAATTTCAAAATAAAATTCAAAACCTGAACTCGAAATTTTGGATTTCAAAACAATTCAAATTTCAAATTCCAACTCAAATTTAATGAACCAAAGAAAATGAACTATATACATTTAATGTTTTTACCTTTGTTTAATTATAAAGTTTGAAATCAAACTAGAAAAATTTGAACATTTACTTAAACTCGAAATTTTGAGTTTGAACTAAATATTTCTCGTGAGAATTCAAATTTCAAGTTTGGACTTAAAATTTCGAGTTTAAACACAAAATATCACATTTTGAGACTATTTTTTATTTCCACATTTCAAACTCAAAACTCAAAATTTCAAAACCGAACTCAAAATTTCGCGGTTGTTAAACTTGAGATGTATGGTATGAACTTGAAATTTTGAGTTTAAGTTTGAAATGTGGAAATAAAAAATAATCAGAATTTGACTCAAACTCAAACTTCATAATTTTAATTGTAAATTTCAAGTTTGAATTTGCAATTGAGTTTGCATTCAAAATGTTTGAATTTGATATTTCAAGTTTAAAACACAAAATTTCCTGTTAGAAGTAGGAAATTTGAAGTTGAGACATAAATGTTTGTGTCAAGCTTGAAATATCAACTTTATATTCAATTCAAAATTTTGTAAGAAAAAAAATGAAACCGTATGGCCTTTCTACACTTTCGTACGTCTCAACACTTTCATACCTCTCGAATAAAAACCCTCGTCAACAAATTTAAAACGACAAAACAAGTCTGGTGCATATAATAAAAATAACATATAAAATATGACTTTGGCCAGATAATAAACAAAAAAAAGAAGGTACTATTCAATCCGGCTCCGAACCTATCCTCAAGTCCTCCATCTCCCTTAGCTAGCTGGTCCCACTCGAAGTCTCGTAATCCACCATGCGGCTCTCCAGACTCTGCAGGGACGTAGCGGTCGACATGACGTCCCCGATCTGATCTTTAGCCTTGGCGTAGTCCAGCACCCGTTCCTTGAGCACCGGCTGGGGCGGGGGGCTCTGGGGAGACTCGGCGTTCGCCGCCGCCACCTTCAGCAGCTCCTTCTGCGAATCCCTAGCCTCCACCAGGAAGATGCTCTCCTTGACCTCCTTGCCGGAGTACTCGTGGATCTTGTCGTAGATGACGCCGTGCAGGCCGAGCGATTTAAGGAACTTTATGGTGGCGGGGTCGGCGTTCTCGTCGCCCCAGCAGAATATCACCAGGTCCAAGTTGGTGGCGAGTTTTACCTGGAAGGGTCGTAGCGTCAGTCGAATGGAGAGGTTTGATTAGAATTTATTGAAAGGGCAAATTTGCTTTAATTTAAAAATTAATATATTTTTTTAATTTTTGAAAAATTGACGGGAACCAATTTCCAAAATATTCAATGGCGTACAATTTCCAGAATTCTTAATGACGTTATTTTCCAGTAACTCTGCCACTGGTTTCGCCAGCCTGCATCAAGTATCTTCACAAAAATATGTGATATTTTCGAAATTTTAAAACACCCTGTATCTCCAAAACAAAGTGTTCCTGGACATATTTTTAGGAACTTTTTTAGCTGATTTATGACATAGAACTATATCATTAACGCCCCCTAAATTTTCTTAAAAGAAAAAAAAAGTACAAGCAAATGATGGCTCTTTAAACGAGCATTACGCTCATGTGCAAAACAACGCTAGAGGTCAACATCACCTTTATGTATGCCACATGCCAAGGTCTCGACTTTATTTTAAACATATGGGCAGGAATACTGGTTTACACCGGACATTTTCAACTCATGTAATGAAGCGATTTGAATAACCAGATTGCGATAATTTGATAAAAGAAATCGAGACTTCCTCGTTCGAAATCGATAGTTAAGCGAAAGTGAGCAGAGAAATTAAGCATTAGTAAAAAAAAATGCTGAAAACATTGACGCAGAATTATCGAAAACACAGCAAATACCAATATACAGCATGTCCCAGAAATATGTCCTGACGACAGAAAAGTTTATCTGTAAATCGCCATTTTCCAAAAAAACTGCTATTCTCAAATTAAGATTTTCTTAATTTATATACAGAATTTTTAATTTGGAAAAAAATCTATACAGGGTATCAAAGAAAATAAATCTAGTCTGATAACCACAGACTCCTGAGATCAAAATAATCACTAATTACATTAAAAAGTCGTCTCGGTCAAAATTAAAAATATTTGGTGTCTGGAATAAAGCTTTGATCATAAAAACCCCAGCAGATGGTTCGTTTGTCTGTGTTTGGCCACTTTTACCAATTTTTTTTTAGCATTTGAGACTCGTGTATAGATAGAATAAAACCGCAATGCGGATAGCGATGTCACCCATTTGCAAGGAAGGAAAAGCCCATGAACATACTATCACGCCACCCGCACCCTTCAGCCCGCCACAAACCTATCAAAAACTGCCCCGAAGAGGGGTCAAACGCATATATGACCTATTCCACCGGCCACATCTACTTCATCACCCATTTTCAAGCGAGATAAAGCCCTTGAATATATTGTCACACCATCCGCACATCAAAAAAAGGGAACAGAAATTAAATACCGCTTCTGAAACCTAGAAGTTCTGAAAATGTCCAAATTTATTCAAAAACGTTTATAAATCAGCAGTTCTCAAACTTTTTATTTTACAAAACCAGAGATTCTAAAACTGTTGGTTGAAGTACTGTTTCTGATGGATATTAAAACAGATTTCGAATGTCATGGAGTATGAACTCCGCAAGACAGCAGTTCTCAAACTTTTTATTTTATACAATTATGAAATCCAAACTGCCACAAACTGATCAAAAACTGCCCCGAAACGCATATATGACCTATTCCATCGGCCAGTTCTACTTCATCACCCATTTTCAAGGGAGATAAAGCCCATGAATATATTGTCACACCATCCGCACATCAATAAAAATGGTCAAGAACCAACCCCAAAAAGGGCTACCTCGATAAACTCTGGACAAGATCGAGGTAGTGTGACATGTTTGAGGGGTATATCATCCTCAGAAACGGATATGGAGGAGAACTGGTAGGTGGAACAGATCAGAGACACGTATAACCCTTTTTGGGATTGGTTCTTGGCCACTGGGAAGAACCAACCCCAAAAGGGGTTACACGCGTCTCTGATCTGTTTCACCAACCAGTTTTCCCCCATCCCTGTTTCTGAAGATGATAGACACAAACATGCCACACTAGCCCCATTTTAACTTCTTTTCTGACACACCCTGTATAAAATCAAGAAAAAGAGTAACATTTTCAAGCATCTAAGCAGGAAATTTTACAAACTACATTTCCTCATAAAAAATTGAAAAAAATATTAAAAATGGAAAAATAAAAAATAAAAAATTAATGAAAAAAAAAATGAAAAAAAAAATGAATTTTTTTCCCCCAAAATTCCTTACCAGAGAAGGCTCCCTGAGCAGGTCCTCGGTGTGCACATTAATCCCTAACATCTCTATCATCACAGCATACTGAGCGGCAGACTTAATGGACCAACACCTCGGGTCGCTGTACTTATCGTAGATCTTGCTCTCCCCCACCGTCAGGAACATGACGGGGTACTTGTTCTGCTTCAGCCGTATCACCTGGCAGATGTCGGGGTTGAAGCCGGAGAAGATGATCCTCCTTTCCCCGCCGTACCGCAGGACCACCTCCAGGATGGTGTCCAGGTACACGTTGAGATCGGTCGGGTTGTACAGTTCGTAGGTGCCGTCCTCCAATCGCATGGTCCACTTAATCTCGATGTTGAAACCGGTGTGGGGGTCCAGGGTCTCCAGGAGCTGCTGCAGCGTGGGGAAGGGCTGGTGGTCGTCGAGGTCTTCGTCGAAGAACCGGGGGTTCTTAGTTTTACCCTCGGACAGGTGGTACACCTTGAAACAGATTAAAAATAAGTTTTCTACTGGAAAAAAAATCATGTCTGTCTCTCGGACGGGTTTTTGAAATTTTAATTTGAATTGCAAAATGAAAAAATATTTAAATTCAGAAAAAAATTGTTTTCAAATCATTTTTTAATATACATACTTAATGTAAAGATTGAGTAAACTTGAGAATGACAAAAAGTGTATGTATGGATAAAAGTTAAATGAAA